TAAAGGGCACTGGAGAGCCATCTGGTTTGGTTCTTTCATTGTGTTTCATTTTTAAGCAAGCAACTAACCAGAGCTGTACTGTAGGGAAATGTGTTTTTAACAGTCAGTAGCACAACCGGAGGGCAAGAGACCAATTAGAAAACTGGAGGAAAGAGGGAATGAAAACCTAAACTAGAACCCTGGAGGTGGGATATAACCAGATCCAAGAGAGAGTGTAAAAATAAAACTGATGGTACCTGGGACTTGATAAGATTTGGGGGTAAGAAAGGTATTTAGAGTCAAAACCTGGCTCCAAAACTCTCCAGTCAGGAGAACAGAAGAATGACAGTATCATTAGCAGAGATAAGGAGGACAGGAGAAAAACAGACTCAGGGAAAACAAGCATTTCTTGAATTGAGTTTGAGGCTCAGGTGAGACTTTCAAGTGGATTCAAGAATAACTAAAACTGTGGTCTGGTGTAAGTAAGAAGAGATGAAGATCTCTTCAGAAGTAACCAGCTGAGGCTGCAAGAACAGAGATGTCAGGAAGCAGTTTACACAATGCCCTGAAACCCTTTATCTTTCCTTCGCATCTATTTCAGTTCTTGAAGCCCTCTCAAAACCATCATTTTATCTGACAGTCATAACAATCTTGTGAAATAGGAAAGGAAAGGGCACCTACTTTTACAGGTAAGGAAATGGAGGCTCAGAGGACTGAGGGGTTTTGCCAAAACTGTTGCCTTGAAGTAATTACAGATACCTGCTTCCCTGGTGACCCGGTGGTAAAGAATCAACCTATCTACACAGGAGACGATCCATCCTGTGTCTCCTCAACAGATAGGAGACCCTGGAGAAGATGCCCTGGAGAAGGTAATGGCAACTCACTCCAGTATTCTTGCCTGGGAAATGCCATGGTCTGAGGAGCCTGGCGGGCTACAGTCCACGGGGTCGCAAAAGGATCAGACACGACTTAGCGACTAAACAACAATTACAGATCCAGGATCAGAATCCAGAGCTTCTGATTCTTCATACAACTCCGTTGCCGATTGCACATAGGTAAGACCCCGACTTGCACGGGTCAGTAGTTTGTGGTCGTACTGCACCGTTGCAGTACTTTGGGGTGTAGGGTCCTTCTTTAACTCTTAATCGGTTTATAGAGACGTTTGAGACAATGATGCTCCAGTCTGCACAAACCGTCACCGTTTAGTCCGTTAATTACATCCAGTGTGAAAGAATAGACAGCCCTGGTTTCTAGGAAACAAGTACTCTGCAATTAAGGCCAACGTTCTGAGTTGCTAGTCTTTTAAAGGGATCGCTCCGCCTTTAGGAAGCAGCAGAAATAGCTGGTAAGTTCGTACATGGAAGACCTGTGGACTTGAACAGATTTCCCAAAGACCGCTACACCAAAGTTTAAATTCAGAAAAGACCAACATCTTCACAGTTCACAAGACAGGGAGGGAGGGATTGTTTTAAGGCTCCGTGAGGACAATGGGGTTTTGTGTGAGTTTTAAGGTGAAACTGCGCGTTTGACAAAGAAAGACGACAGTGACGAGCCCGGATCCGCGGGCGGGCGGGGCGGAGGAGGGGGCGCGTGAGTCAGGCTGGGGCCGCGCGGGGCGGAGCCGGGTGGGGCCGGCCCGGAGGCCCGGGATCCGGCCCGCCGCCCAGTGCCCGCCGCGCCGTTCCCCACTCGCATCCGCGCGCCTCGCTCCTCTCCGACATGGTAAGCCGCGCTTTTTACTTGTCTTCCTCTTAGATGAAAATTTCTTTCATGTAAATTCCTCTTACATGAAAATTACAGCCACGGCATACTTTTCACCAGGCTTAATCTTTGATTTTTGAAGTGGTCGTGGCAGGAAGCAGAGCAGGACAAATAAATCTACCGGAGGGAATCAGAGAAGAACAGATGGAAGGAAGAAGCCCTAAATTATACGTGGAATCACAGCCTCGGGGTAGCAGCGGGAGGCTCTTGTTTTTACTCCGAGGTCTGGGGCTGGGATAGGGGAAGTGCCCTGCGAGCCACGCCCGGCGCGGAGCCCCTCGCGCGGCGGGCAACGGGGCGAGGGGGTCCGGCCGGTGCGGGAAGCCCTTCGCCGCGGGGCCCGCGGAGCCTGGGGTACGACCTAACGACTGGGGCGGGGGGTGAATTCTGTGTGGTGGCTCCAGTTACATATAGTCACAGAGCTAGAGGTCCGAGCCCTAGAGGGGAAATCGGAGTTTCAGTAAACGACGGGCAAGCGGCCAAGACGCGGAGACTGAAACAGAAGCCCGGCCAGGAATGTGGGAGGGCCCCGGCTCCGGGAAGCCCCCGGCTCCGGGAAGCCCCCTCCTCCTCCCCGCTTGCCTCCAACCCACCGTCTTTTTAGGCGCTCCTCCGTCTCCTGTTTTTCTTCTCTCAGCTCCTGCCAGCCCCACTGTGAATTCTTTCTACCTGCATTAATCCACCCCCCCAAAATCTGCCTCTTCCTTGGCCTCTATTTCGCGGAGTCAGCAAACTTCCGCCCGCCTGCCAAGTGGGGTTCTCTGCGCCCACGAGCTCCGAGTGGATTTTACGTAAATAGTTGAAAAGAAAAGCCAGGGAAGAATAATACTTTGAGAATTATATGAAAATCAGACTTCACCATGCATATAAGTAAGGTTTTATTGGCACACGGCCACGCCCATTCATGAGTTCTCTGTGTGGTTCCTGCCCTGCTACAAACGCAGAGTGATGAAGGCCAAGTGGACCACATTGGCCTAATATATATCCCGTCTGGCACCTACAAAACATGTTTGCTAACCCCTGCTTTAGTGGGTCAGTCTGTATCCTCGACTGCTCTTTATTTCTTCTTTTCACGCTAAAGTGGGGAACCAAAGTCTCAAAGAACCTAGAAAAGGCAGACCCAGCACCACCAAGTGGCGAAGGCCTGAAATGACTGCCCCGGAAGAAAGAGAATGCCACCGGGACTCCTTGGAAGGAAAGGGAGCATGAGTTAAGAATGAGAACTGCAATACTTTTTTCCAAGTGTTACTTTTTTTTTCTTTAACTTTCTCAAATGAGTGTTTAGCACGCATTTTTTACTAATAAGCTCTTTCACAGCATCCATTTATCATGCTGTTTTCTCCTTCCTCTCATTGTTCCCATCAAATAGAATTATGGGGAGCAGTGATGGGGAGCACTGGCCTCCATCCAGGCAGGAGATCGCTTTCTCTTCTCCTTCAGTCACTGATCCAGCTTGGGCAAAACTTTCCTGTCTCTGGGCCTCTCTGCCGGGGAACCCTCTCCAAAGTCCCCTCCAGCACTACAAATTTTGTAATTCCTCTTAGGTAATTTGATATGTGTTTTTTTTTCTTTTGTTCTGAAAAATTACCTCCGGGAAGACATGCACAGGTTTTAATTTTCTCCATGTAGCTGATAGCAACAGATTTCAAGGAGAAAAAAATTCAGTCAAGATTGATGTTAAGGAGAGAAAAGAAAGAAAAGCAGAAAGCCATTGAAACTGGAAAATGAAACCAGTCTGAGTTCTACAAAGAAAAGGGTCAGAGGATACTTCTGTAGGTCTAGAAAAAGATCACAAAGCCCTGGCTCCTCAGCCTGGAACGTTCTACCCTATCTGGTGTGCCCTCCCAGTCAACCTTGTTCCTGTAATCTGATGTGTTAGTTAGACTGTGAGATTGCAATCCTGATAAGAAAAGCTGTTGTGCAAACACATCTGTTTCTAGGCTGTGGTATTTTGTTTCTAACCAAAACTCTGAGGCTACCAACACTTTTCTTACCTAAAGAAAAAGTTCTGACAGCGTGACTGTTGGGGAATAATCCATCTCCTATAGAGTTCTCTAGACCCCACCCCCAGAAAGGGCTTTATAGATGTTCCAGGATGCAGTGAGCACCAGGCTAGGCAGTTAAAACACCTGGAGAGACTGAAGGAGGGAAAGAGAACTGCAGCTGTGCACGTCAGCCCTTCTTAGCATGTAAATTATGCGTCCTGAAAGCCTCCAGTTCTGGGCTCCAGGGAGTCCATCCTAAGAACAAATTAACCGGATAAGTGCTACGTTGCGAAAGTCACCATCATTGGTAACCTCCAGAGCGAGATAAAGCCTTGGAGGAAGGGTGTGGCCATCGAGTTTTCCAGAAAGTCTTCAGTTCCTGCTCTTATCCACCAGGGGGAGCCCACGAGTTCCTCGCGTCTGGGGCCCCAGGAGCTGGCTGGAATGAAGGGCAGAGTATGACAGAATTTCCTTAAGACTTCCCTTGTAAGGAAAGCAGAGCCCAGAATAGGATATGAATCTCCTGCTCCTTCTGGTGCAACCACACCTGTGGTTCAGCCCCGTAAATGCCATAGGAGCTGTGTGAGTGGCAACCTTGATCAGAGCCCCCATATCAACCTTCTGGTTTGAAGTGACCAGAGAAGTTCCACTAGCTTTTCCTGTGGGAATTAGTGGCATCTGGGAATAGAAGGAGCAAAGGCCAAGGGTGCAGGAAGCAACCTGGAGGCTGAGATTCTAGAAGTAGCTCTGCCATGTCAGTTCCCTTCTCACGCCTCAGGGTAACCATACTTTTAGTTTTCTTCTAGAAAATGTATGAGTCCTGAGAATTCAGTATTCTTTTAAAAAGAAATGCCATTTCACTAATCACAGTAACCTCTATGTATTCTTTTGGAAAATAGGGAATTTTTTAATCTATACACAATGCTTGGTGGGTTGCATATTTATGGGTATATAATAAGCATATATTTACCCACACATTCTAAAAGTATCAGCAAACCCTGTCACCTCATGCTCATCTAGGCAGTCTACTGCTTTCAAGTATACCAGCATGCTCACTAATTTTCACCTGGAAAAAACAGGAGGCAATACAGGGAAGAAGCTCACAGAATGTGACTTTCTGTGGTTGTCTTAACCCCTTAGCCCTTAAACAATGACCTATCTTTTAGGAAACTGCTTCGACCCAAAATGAAGAGATGAGATCCTCCGGAGTGTTCAGCACCCAGCTCTTGATATCCTCCCCTTATCTGAATCCTGAATTTTTTTTTTCCCCCAAAGGCAAAAGTATCCAGCCCTACGGAGACTGAACGATGCATCGAGTCTCTGATTGCTGTTTTCCAAAAGCATGCTGGAAGGGATGGTAACAACAGCAAACTCTCCAAGGCCGAGTTCCTAATCTTCATGAATACAGAGCTGGGTGCCTTCACAAAGGTACTGGTCCCAGCCCCCAACCCCAAACTACAAGACCCTGGCAGAACGGCTAGCTTGGAATGAAGGACAGCAGCTGAGCCCCCAGAGCTGAGTGAGCTCCGAATGGCTATTAAAGGATCTTTTCTTTTTTTGAATAACATGGGATCTGAAGATCAGAGTTATCAAACTGTACATGACATAGGGAACAGTGATTTTTTTCATTTAAGGAGATGGTTTACAAAAATGGTAAATGGAGTAATAAAAGAGTTTTCAAATGTTGTTCCTCCACCCCAAAGCCGCTAGGGTAGCCCTGTTCAGAAGAACTTTCTGTAGTGATGGAAATAATATACTAAATATTCTATATGTGCACTACTTGATATGGTAGCCAGTAGCAATTAACAGACTGACTTTCTAAGTTAATTAAGTAGCTGTATGTAACCAGTGGATGTAAGTGTGTGTAGGTGTTGAGGTTTAGGATGAGTGGAGGATGAGGCTGATTAAGCAGGCCCTGCATCAGCTGCTGTCCTCATTCTACCTCAGATCACTCCACTTTTATGTAGTTTGTATATTGGAGTTGCATGTGACACTTAGAAAAAGTTTTCCACTGATATTATAAAATTGAGTAATCCCCAAATGTAACAGAAAGAACCCTGGAGTAGAAGCCAGAAAATCTGAGTTTGAGGGAATTCCCTGTTAGTCCAGTGGTTCGGACTCCATGCTCTCACTGCCAAGGGCCCAGCTTCAGTCACTGGTTGGGGAGCTAAGATTCCATAGACTATGAGGCACAGCCAAAAAATAAAAAACTTTTTTTTAAGTAAATGGTTAATTTAGAAGGAAAAAAAAAGCTGATTTGACTCCTAGGTCTTCTGCTTGGGCCAGTCACTTCATCTGTTTGAGTCTGTTTCTATGTCTGACAAGTGGGAAAATTAGAGACATTACTTTGCCAGCAAAGGTCCATCTGGTCAAGGCTATGGTTTTTCCAGTGGTCATGTATGGATGTGAGAGTTGGACTGTGAAGAAAGCTGAGCACCGAAAAATTGATGCTTTTGAACTGTGGTGTTGGAGAAGACTCTTGAGAGTCCCTTGGACTGCAAGGAGATCCAACCAGTCCATCCTAAAGGAGATGAGTCCTGGGTGTTCATTGGAAGGACTGATGCTGAAGCTGAAACTCCAATACTTTGGCCACCTCATGCGAAGAGTTGACTCGTTGGAAAAGACCCTGATGGTGGGAGGGATTGGGGGCAGGAGGAGAAGGGGACGACAGAGGATGAGATGGCTGGATGGCATTACCAACTCAATGGGCATGAGTTTGAGCAGACTCCTGGAGTTTGTGATGGACAGGGAGGCCTGGTGTGCTGCAATTCATAGAGTCGCAAAGAGTCAGACACGACTGAGTGACTGAACTGAACTGAACCCTGTACCTCATACTCTTGTGAGAATAAAATGTGACAACATTTTAAAAAGCACTTTAGAAAGAACAGTATAAAGGTACTAATGTCATTATGTCATTATTGTTATTATCTTTGCAGAACCAGAAGGACCCTGGTGTCCTTGACCGCATGATGAAGAGATTGGACCTCAACTCTGATGGGCAGCTAGATTTCCAAGAATTTCTTAATCTTATTGGTGGCCTGGCCATTGCTTGCCATGAATCCTTTATTAAGTCCGCCTCTGGCCCGAAGTAAACTGGAGGAACCTGTGGGCCTGGCCTCCAGACCCACTCCCTTTCTTTCCAGCCTCTCAGTTATCTGCTCTTCACAGCCCCCACATACCCTGAGCCCAGCACACCCACCTACCCAGGCAGGCCACTCCTGTTAGTAATAAAACAATATTGTTTTTTAAAACACACACTGGAGTCAGTAAATTTGTGCAAGAGTTGGGGAAAACTGGGAGGAATATAAATTAGACTGATGGGAACAGTTACTAGAAGATGCATAGTAAGTAGTAAAAATGTATCTTTGGAGTATACATGATCATGACTAATGATACCAACAGAATCATCTCTAAATTACTCAGCCTGATAGATGTCACTTGTTGTCACTATTCACTCATTGTCTACAACCCTACTAGAGGCACTGTCAGAGGCTCCAAGGATACAGTCAGCAAGACAGATAGGGTCCTGCCTTCACAGAGGTTACTTTTAGTTGAGGGAAACAATAAATGGATAAACAAAGGACTATGAGAGTACTCAAAAAAAGTTGTCTTTCTGAAAGCCAAATTGAATTCTTTTCAAAAACTTGATTAGGGAAGTTCACTGAAGATCACTGTGGTTGATGTAAGTGTAGCTGAGACAACTATAAACAAATGTGAAAAACCGCAAAAATCTAAAAGCATCATTTCTTCAGACTACCTCACAAGTATCTTTCAATTCCTCCACTTAAAAAAAAGGAACTAGGGCTCCCATAGTGGCTCGGGTAAAGAATATGCCTGCCAGAGCAGGAGACATGGGTTTGATTACTGGGCCAGGAAGATCCCACATTCCACAGACCAACTAGGCCTATGCACCACAATTAATGAACCTGGGAGCCACAACTTCTGAAGCCCTCATGCCCTGGAGCCTATGCTCCACAGCAAGAGAAGCCGCCACGATGAGGAACCTGAGAACCGCAACTAGAGAATAGCCCCCCTCACTGAAAGTAGAGAAAAGCCTGTGCAGCAACAAAGACCCAGCATAGCCTAAAATAAATAAATTTTTTTAAAGGAACTGAAATTTATTGAGTGTGATTTATGCAAGAAAGGCAGTATAGCAGAATACTGGTAAATGTAAGTTTAAATATTTAAAATAGCATTTTTATGAATACCCATTTAACTGTTTGTTTTTTTGTTTTTTTTTTTTTTAGTAAGCCAGCCAACTACTGGTCTCTACCCTTCAGAAAAGACAGCCTCTACCATTTCCCAATACACTTTTTCTTCTCCCTGCCTGTTTGATCTCTTCCACTCCTCTCTCTCCCCACAGTTTTTAAAGGCAAACTTGATGGTGTCACTCGCTTGGTTAAAACCAAGCATTAATTCCTCTTAACATGCAAGATGAAACCCACAGTCATCTTGGGGTGCCCAAGGGCCTTCAGGGAGTGTCCCTACCCCCTTCTCCAGCCTCATTTCTGCTTCTCTAGCCTTGCCAAACACTCCTGAACTGGTAACTAGTGCTGTGCCTCTGTCCCTTCATGATCTCTTCTTGCGGCCCTGAAAGCCCTCCTGCCTGTTCTCCTTGTTCTGCAGAGCAGCGTCTCTGTAGTGTCGCCTCCCCCGAGAAGCCTCCCCGCCTCCCGTACCACAGCTGGTTTTGATGCTCTTACTCCATGCATCCATGGCACTCTGTTCTCGCCTCTGTCAGCACTTACCACTCTGAATTGTAATGGTGCTTTTGCTTGTCTGTCTTCCCAGACTTGACTTTGAACTCAACAACAGGGACCTGGTTCAATGCACAGAGGAGCCTGGCAGGCCACCATTAGGGGGTCGTCAAAAGTCAAGAAAATGATTGAGCACAACAACAACACGTCACTAATACCTAGTGTGGTGCCTGGCAGATGGGTCTGTAAAGGTAGATAATGCTGTAAAATCTGACATGGGACACTGCATGTCAGAGTTCCCACAGGTAACATGCATGTTCACCAGGGTCACTGAAGGAAGTTTAACGAGACTGTTAGCAAGGTGTGTTCTGGGACAAGAGAAACACAAGCGACGGCAAAGCACCAGGGACTAGCAAAACTTGGACGCTGTTACCACCGTGGGTCTGACTGGGCAAGGCAGGGAACAGTTCCTGGAAGCCAGCAAGAGCCGTGGGCAAGGGAGAGGGTCCCCGCAGATGCTGTGGCCTTAATTAGAGAAATACAGTTACTGTCAGACCATAGGAGGAAGGTGGGAGCCACGGGGATACATACCAATATCTCTCTCCTCTCACCTTCTGATCTTCAGCAGTGCCTCCAGTGGGACAACCCAACTGGAAGGTTGAGCAGGGCAGAAAAACATAGAAAGTGAATCTGGAGGGGCAAAGAGAATATCCATCACATCGTAAAAAGGTGAGATCAGTATTTCTGTACCACACAGTTAACTGCTGTGAGAGAAGTTGAGGATAAAGTGCCAACACTCACACAGATAGATATTTTTTAATATATATTTTTATTTCATATTGAAATTTGTTTTATTGTGGTTAAATTTACCTAACATGAAATTTCATGTTTTAACATTTTTAAGTATACAGTTCAGAAGCATTAAGTATATTCACACTGTTGTGCAACCTTCACTATTATTCACCTCCAGAACATTTCCATCTTCCACAACTGAAATCCTATACTCATTGAACAATAACTCCCACTCCTCTCTCCTCCCATCCCTGGCCACCAACATTCTACTCTCTGTATCTGAATTTTATTACTGCAGGTACCTCATATAAGTGGAATCATACTATATATATATTTTTTTTTTTTTTCTTTTTGGTAACTGTCTTACTTCACTTAGCATAACATTCTCAAGGGTCATCCATGTCATGTTTGGCACCTGTCAGACTTTCCTTTCTTTTTAAGGTTGAATAATATTCCATTGTATGTTTGTTGTTTAGTTGTTAAGTCATGTCCAACTCTTTTTCAGTCCCATGGACTGTAGCCCACCCAGCTCCTCTGTCCATGGGATTTCCCAGGCAAGTAAAAGGAAGTGGGTTGCCATTTCCTTCTCCAGGGGATCTTCCCAACCCAGGGATCAAAGCCACATCTGCTGCACTGGCAGGCAGATTCTTTACCACTGAGCCACCAAGAAGCCCATATATATATATTACATTGTTTATCCACTCACCCAACAATGGACACTTGGATTGCTTTCACCTTTTGGTTATTGAAAATCATGCTACTGTAAACACAGGTGTACAAATATATGTTAGAGTGCCTGCATTCAACTCTTTTGGATTATACACCCAGATGTTCTCAGGTGGCACCAGTGGTAAAGAATCTGCCTGCCAATGCAGGAGACATAAGAGACGCAGGTTCTGTCCCTGGGTCAGGAAGATCCCCTGGAGAACAGCATGGCAATCCACTCCACTATTCTTGCCTGGAGAATCCCACAAAGAGTAGCCTGGCGGGTTACAGTCCATGTGGTCCATACAGTCCAAAAGAGCCAGACACATCTGAGCATGCACACAAGGAAAAGAAAAGGAATGGAAATTCTATGTTTTATTTTTTAGGAGCCACCATACCATTTTCCCTAGGAGCTGCACCATTTTATATTTCCATCAGCAATGGACAAGCAATGTCCAATTTTTTCACATCCTTACCAACACTTGTTATTTTCTGATTTTTGTTTAATAGTTAACCTAATGGGCGTGAAGTGGTATCTCACTGTTTTTATTTGCTTTTCCCTAATAATTAGTGACACTGAGCATCTTTTCATGTACTTATTAGTCACTTAAATATCTTCATTAGAAAAATATTTGAGTCCTTTGCCCATTCTTCCCAACTTTACTGAGATATAATTGGTATACAAAAAACTGCACATAATTTACGTATACAATTTGCTGACTTTGTTCATTTTTTAATTGGGTTGTGTGATATTTTTTACACTGAATTGTAGGAGTTCTTTAGATATTCTGTATATTAATCCCTTATCAGATACATGATTTGCAAATATTTTCTCCCATTCTGTAGGGTGCATTTTCATTCTATTGATAGGGTCCTTTGACACACACAAGTTTTTAATCTTGATGAAACTGTAATTTTAATTTTGAATGTATCTATTTTTCTTTTATTGCCTGTGTTCCTCATATCATATCCAAAATTCATTGCCAAATCAAATGAAGAATTTTTAAAAAAAGAAAAGAAAAGAAAAATCAAGCAAAGATCCATTCCTTTTTAGGAAGATTTGGGTCATGATGTTAGGACTTTTGTCAAGATGGGGATAGAGCAGATATAGCAAGCCCCTTCCTACTGAAAATAATGCTAGATAAAATGGAACCCCCTCCAAAAAAATAGTTTAAATACTTAGTTGAAAAATCAGAAAGAAGAATATCTAGATCCTCAAAGCAAAACAGGAATGCATAGCTGTAACTGTGCCAGAACTGAGGTCATGCAAACCCAAACTGCAGAACAGGGACCAAGCTCTTAGCTAAAGGAGATAAACCACTGAAGAGTTGGCCTAACAGTGATGAAGACTGATAAACTCAGCTCACCACCCTCCCCCCCCCCCCAGATAAACAGAAGGAGCCACAGGGGGAATAAAGTCATCCGACAAAGGACAAAATGCCACACTTGTGCTTCCTGGAGGCGTGGGACTCAAACATACACTGCTCCCTGGTACAGAATTCCCAGGTTAAAAAGTGCTCCAGAGCAGTAAACACAATATAAAACCCCAGGGAAATGCAAACCACCTCATGGAAACAACTCCAGCCATTGGGGGGATTTCCACAGAAGATAAATCCCACTAAAATGAGCTCACAAATATTATACTGCACACACAGGACTCTCAATACATGTAACAGATAAGAAACTTTGAACCCAAGTAAAGAGAGCAATGTGGAACTGACTTGAACATGAGAATGTTTAAAATATTCAAATAAATAAAGGCGGGAAGTAAGATATATAAACAAGAATAGGGGGTACATGAAGAAGGAAAAAAAAAGAAGCAAATACAGATTCTATAGGTGAAATATATAGTCATGCAACTGTATAAAAGATCATTAAGTTGAACATTGCACCAGTTCCTGGCCCTGCTGGGGTGACAAATGGGAGGATCTGTCCCCACGGGCTACACCTCACGGAGATCTTGCTAAGTCACTGCACCCACCCACCTCACAACAACCCTATTGTATTCTCCACAAACCTGGTGAGAGAGGTTTTGGGAATTTGAGCAGACTGCGGAGGACCACACCTGTATAGCAAGAGCAATAATTCATGCTTTGTCTCTCTGCTCTCCCTAATCTCCTAAATCTCCCTCAGTCACCAGTGAAAGCATTACTGGATGGCCACAGTCAAGAAAGAAGACTCAGAGAGGAAGGCAAGTCTGTACTGGCTGGGAACTGGCTCTCAGTGCAGAGAACTCCCCGTGAGAAAAGGAAGCAGGGGCGGAGAGGAGCAACGGTCATTCTGGGTCTTCGCCCCACCTCTCTCAGCTGAGAATGCAACCCACACAGCGAGAAATGTTGCTCTTATCAGATTCATGTTTCATCCTCACAGCGGCTTAGGGTCAAAGTCATCTTTAAACGTGATGTATGGAGTCGCCAGAACTCATGGTAGGAATGCCAAACAAAGATGACTTCAGGAACGTTGCAAGTCCAGTCCACAAAGAGATTCACTTCTGACACAGGAAGAAAACCAAAGGTGAAAGTTACAGAAGGTGTACATTAACATCAAGTCCACAGCAGAGGTTGCTTCATAAACCCGAGTGACCCTCTCCTCATTTCATCACCATGAAACCTCCTGAATGGACGGCTGGAAGTTTTGGTCTCTCTCTACTGACCTCTGAGGAGGAGAGAGAAATTAGATATTAAGTTCAATCACCAATGGCCAATGATTTAATCAATCATGCCTATGTAATGAACTCTTCATAAAAACCCAAGGGACAGGGTTTGGAGAACTTCTGGGCTGGTGAACACAAGGAGAGAGGAGAGGGCTCTGAGAGGACACAGAAACTTTCCTGCAAACCTTGCCCTATTTATCTCTTCCACCTGACTGTTCCTAAGTTATGTGTGTGTTAATTATTTGCTCAGTTGTGTCCGACTCTATGCGACCCCATGGACTGTAGCCCGCCAGGCTCCTCTGTCCATGGAATTTTCCAGGCAAGAATACTGGAGTGGGTTGCCATATTCTTTTATAATAAACCAGCAATCTAATAAATACAATGTTTCTCTGAGTTCTGTGAGCCACTGTAACAAAGTGATGGCACCCAAGGAGGCAGTCGTGGGAACCTCCAAATTATAGCCAGTCGGTCAGAAGTACAGGTGACAACCTGGACTTTCAGTCGGCTATGAAGTGAGGGGAAGGAAGCAGTCTTGTGGGACTGAGCCCTTAACCTATGGGGTCGGACCCAGTCTCCAGGGAGACAGTGTCAGAATGGAGTTAAATCATAGGACACCCAGCGTGCCAGGGAATTGCTTGGTGGTATGGGAGGGAAAACCCACACGTAGTAGCTGGTGTCAGAATCATTACCTAGCATCTTCTAAAAGTGACCAGTGGGATTGTTTTGTTGTAGCTATTTAGTATCATTTATTAACTCTTGGATTTAAGCTTATTACGTATGTTTCCATTATTTTCCTTATCAGTGCTCATATTGTCTCATGTTTGGCTAGTGGGAGTCCTTTCCTGCTGCTGCTGCTAAGTCGCTTCAGTCGTGTCCGACTCTGTGTGACCCCATAGACGTCAGCCCACCAGGCTCCCCCATCTCTGGGATTCTCCAGGCAAGAACACTAGAGTGGGTTGCCACTCCCTTCTCCAATGAGTGAAAGTGAAAAGTGAAAGTGAAGTCGCTTAGTCGTGTCCGACTCTTAGCGACCCCATGGACTGCAGCCTACCAGGCTCCTCCATCCACGGGATTTTCCAGGCAAGAGTACTGGAGTGGGGTGCCATTGCCTTCTCTGGGGAGTCCTTTGAGTTGGGTCCTAAGTCCCTATGACATGGCCCCAGTAGTCTTTGATAACTTCCTTCTTCCTGGTATAAGATGTTCCTAGCTCATCTAGTAAATTTCTTACACCAGACATTTTTTCAAGGATCCCTTCTTCCTTTTAGCAACCTCTCATCCTTTTTGTTTCCTTTGCCAACTCCTTTTCTTGTACCTTAACTCAAACTCAGGGACTATCTTGATGGTTCAGGGGCTAAGACTTCATACTCCCAAGGTAAGGGGCTCAGGTTCCATCCCGAGTCATAACACTAGATCCCACAATGCCACAGCTAAGATCCAGTGTGTTGCAACTAAGACGTGGCACAGCCAAATAAATAAATAAATAGTTTTTAAAAAAAGACTCAAACTCAGACTTTGACCTTTTACGTCCTTTTACATTCCTATAGTTTCTCCCATCAGTGAAAGTCACAATTGGTCACACTTCAACTAGCACTCCATGTTGGTTTATATTTCTGCACTCTTAACAAGAATAAGCTCTTCAACATGGTTCGTCAGCCTTCCGCTACCTCTGCACCTCTGCTATTTCTTCCTTCACATGGAATTCAATTTGACATGATTCAATTTAAATTTGTTGAGTGCCTTCCATGTCCTAAATGTCATATGCTTATTGTTGGCATTGATGGTAATAATTCTAATAGCTATTAACTCTTATTAAGTACTTACCATGTATCTAAGAGCTTTGCATGCATCAGTTGATCAGTCATGTCTGACTCTTTGCAACCCCATGGACTGTAGCCCATCATGATCCTCTTTCCATGGGATCTTCCAGGCAAGAATACTGGAGTGGGTTGCCATTTACTCCTCTGGGGAATCTTCTCAACTCAGGGATCTAACCCAAGTTTTTTGTATTTCCTGCAATGGCAGGCAAATTCTTTACCACAGTGCCACCTGGGACTTTACATACATTATATCTTAACAATTATTTCTCTTAACAATTCTATAATATACTCACAATTAGTAGTGTCTATTTCATGGAGTAAGATACTAAGGCACAGAAAGACTGAGAACCTTCCCCAAGTCTCACAGCAAACAAGAGGCAAGGCAACTCTGTCTGAATCCACATGATGGTTAATTTTATGTGTCACCTTGACTGGGCAAAAGGGATGCCCAGATAGCTGATAGAACATTATTTCTGGTGTGCTGTGAGGGTGTTTCTGGAAGAGATTAGCATTTGTATCGGGAGACAGAGTAAAGCAAAAGGTCCACCCCACTGAGAAATGGCAGCAGCCCATTCCTGAGAGTCTGAGTAGAACAAAAGACAGAAGAATGGCGAATGCACCCTTTCTGACTGAGACATCCACTTCTCCGGCTCTCTGACTTTGACTCTCATGGTTCTCTGACTTTCAGACTCGGGTGGGGACTTACAACATCTATCCTCTGAATTTTTGACCCTTTTGTCTTGGACTAAATTATAGTACCAGCTTTCCAGGACCTCCAGCTTGCAGACAACATATCATGGGACTTCTCAGCCTCCATCACCTCCATCAGCCATTTGCTATAATTAATTTCCTCCTATTTGTATCCATATATCCTTTTGGTTATGTTCCTCTGGAGAACTCTGACTAACACACTTCCAAACCCTATCTTGACCACTAATCCATTTATTTGTTTCCCTCCCCTCTGTTTGGCCTAATTCCACATGTTCTACAAAACTGACCTCAGGTCTCCTGTCCTCTAAGAAGCCTCTCTTTGCACTCTGACCAGTGTGGCTCATCTTCTCCCTAAACTCCTTCACTGCCAATGAGGCACTTCAGAACACACTATGCAGTTTCACTCCACTCAGCTGCAGATTCTGATTCCCTGAGTCTGGGATGGAACCTGAGACTCTGCACTTCTAGCAAGCTCCCAGGTGATGCCGCTGCTTCTGGCTCATGAACTACATTTTAAGTAGCCAGGATATAGGAGATATACACATGTATTTTCATCAAGTATACTTACTAAAACATGAACAACAGTTATCTCTGGATACGTCCTTCTTTCTTTCTATCTTGGCTGCTCTACACAGCATGCAGGGTCTTAGCTCCCAGAAAAGGGGTTGAACCCCTTGAACCCATGCCCCTGCAGTAGAAGCATGGAGTCCTAACCACTGAACCATCAGGGACATCCCCCCTTTTTTTTAATTTATATGTTTCTATATTTTTCAATTTTCTATCAATGGATACAGATTATTTTTATAATCAGAATGATGTATATAAGTATTAAGTTCACAATGCTTCTCACAATATTCAAAATAAAGCTCAAATCTCTTCACTCAGCACCAGTAGCTCTTTGTGATCTGGCCCTTTGCAGATTCTATGTCCTAATCTCCAGCAACCTCTGAATACACTTTCTGCATACCCACAAAACCTTCCAAATCATTTGTAATTCCCTAGACACTTTTCCCTACTCTCTCATCCCCCCACCTTCCTCTGACTCATCCTTCAAGTTGGTCTCAAGTGGCTGCCTCCTTCAGGAAGCCTCCCCCAAACCCACCATCTCTGCTCTCTGCTCTGCACAACAACCAGAGACATGCTGGCCACAATTCACCTCACATGTTGTTTTGTCCACCTTCCCTGCTAGACTGGGGTCCCCCAAGCAGAGACTATCTTCGTTTCTATATTCTCAGCATTTAGATAGTGCCAGGCATGTAGCTGGCACTCAGGAAGTTTCTGAATGGATATACAAAAATAACTTGCAAAATGCTACATGTGGACTTACCTGGTGGCACAGTGGATAAGAATCAACCTGCCAATGCGGGGGGGACATAGTTTCGATCTCTGGTTCAGGAAGATTTACATTCCATGAAGCAACCAAGCCCACACCCCACAACTACTGAGCTTGCACTCTAGAGCCCATGAGCCACAATGACTGAAGCCTGGAGCCTATGCTCCACAACAAGAAAAGCTACTGCAATGAGAAGCCCACAGACTATAACCAAGAGGAGCTACCGCCTGCCACAGCTAGTGCAAAGCAACGAAGACCCTGCAAGGCCAAAAATAAATAAAATTT